GGGACTGGCCTAGGGGATTTTATAGGGGTTTTAATTACTTTTAATTGGACATATTCAAATATTTCGTTTTAATTAAATTTTTAATTAGGCATAATATGTATATATGTTAGTATTTTATCTAATTTGTCAGCCGCCCTGAGTCCGAAAGGAGAAGGGCGGGATATAAATGCAATTAATAAATAAATAAATAAATAAAATCAGTCAATTTCAACTTCTTGCGGGAAAAAAAAGATCTTGCAAAGTTGGAATTGATTGATTGAACTTTTTAGTCCCATTCAGTCTGCCGTTACCACTGCAGCCATCCCCACCCAATGGGCCACACCCAGCCAATGGGCCACACCCACCCGGCACTCGACGATGCATAAGTGGGTTTTGGGTTGCAGTTGGGCACTCGGTCTCTAAAAGGTTCGCCATCACTGTTATAGGGCAAGGTGAGGGGAGTCAGTCCTGGATCTCTTCTAGCTGTGCAATAATTCAAGGCTAATTCCCTGCTTGAGCCTTCCCCCTACCTGGCTGGGCATTTTCCAACAATATCCTTCCTTCAATACTGGCTCCCCATTCACAGTCATGAGGAGAAGCCCATGTGACTATCTGGAGCACTGCAGCTAATGATTAAGAAGAATTTATGGGTATGTTATCTGTGTCCTGTATATCTTCATTGAAGAGTATGTAGAATGGAATTGCAGGTACACATAGAGAAGATAGCACTTTAATTATCTCAATGTGCGTAGAGATAAAGATGAAGCCTGGTGGTACAATGCTCTTCCATCTCCTGGAAATGCCCTCCAAGAGGAACAGTTTCGATACTTCAGAGTCATATTGGCCAGACATTAAGATTAGATGCATCAAAAACATCAATCAAATCCTCCTAGATTTAATTCTTGCCTTCCATTTTTATCTGATATACCTAGAGATGAAATATATGCGTAAAATGTAGGTATTTTAAAAAGCAATCCTCTCTAGGTAACTGATTCATTTTTCTTAATTTACAAAGAAACTTAATAGCTGATACTACAGACATAGAAGACTGATATGAAGCATTTTATTTTTCAGGCAAGCTTTCCCAAGTACAAACTGTAGTAAGAATTGGCCCATCAGGTGAAATCACAAAGCATATTCAGTAAGAATAAAACAAACAGAGGCATGATAGGGTTTGGTGGACAGTGGAAGCCAATTATGAGATTTTTGAAATTCTGTTCTTTTTTTCTCTGTCTCCTTCATTATAGGCTCGGCTGAACTGTAAACACTGTGGGAAACCTGTTATAGATGTACGTATTGGGATGCAGTATTTCTCAGAATACAGCAACGTTCAGCAGTGTCCACACTGTGGAAACTTGGACTATCATTTTGTGAAGCCATTTTCTTCATTTAAAGTTCTGGAGGCTTATTGACAAAAGCTTTGCCATAGTAATAGCTATTTTATGAGTATTGTTCCATTTATTTTACATATCTTTTATAAGATCTGCTCTGTGAAGGGGAGGGGGGCTTTTTTTCTAATTGAAAGGAAATGCAGCAGCTTTGCGTGATTGTGTACATGTGGTCCTGTGTAGATGTGTGTCATTCAGACAGAGGTCCTCTTGCCATGATTTCAGTGAAGGCTGGAGATGCAGCGTCATCTTCTTCTCTCTCTCTAAATATCATATTATCCTAGCTCTTTTCCAGATGTGTTGGAATTACGCTGCCTGGGTATTCTGAAACAGATGTTCCATCACATCTGGAAAGTTGTCTACGTTCACCCAGCTTGGGGAGAAAATTCCATTCTATTTCTTCCCTTTATTGTTAAATGAAACACTTCAAGATATGGAGAAGTTGTAGGTTGGCGAGGTGAACAGATTTTCATAAATGTGTAGAAGAAAGAAAATTGTAGGTCTGCCCAGATGAAGAGTGAAATCCAGCATGATGGGAGTAGAGTTCTGCTTATGCGATAAGGTGATCCCTAAGGCCTTCGGGTGTGCTCTGAAAATCAGTTCTGAAGAATGGGAGACTCTTAGCAGATGTTGATGATGTTGGGAGCATAGAAAGTGGTTCCATGCTAAGCAGCATTCCCATTATTATTGCCTTTTTCCATGCACTCTAATATAGTTCAAGGCCTAATATAACATATGGAAGAGCAAGGGGAGGTGTGCCATAGGATCACAAATTGTCATAACCTCTCCCTTGCTTAATAAATAATCCAGAGACTTCAAGTTTGTATGCAGATCCTATCTGTACATTTTAGATGAACTAAGAAAGGATGCTGGGTAGTTGTACAGCCAGCTTTTCAAAGACATTTTCCTTCTGTGTGCCTCTGTCCAATGATTATCTTCATATTTTGCTCCATGATGAATTTACATGATTCCTGGAAGTAAAATCAGGATAATATTAATAGTGCTGGTTAATACAGTTTGAGGCTCTGTTGGTTGAGATAAACTTAACCATTGACAAATGAATGTAATACTATGTCAGAAAATGCACTGGTTAAAATTGTTTTATTTTTGCATAGTGTCTTCCTGGGATATATATTTGATAATCATAGTTACTCTCACTGACAGATCATGCTGTTTCCACTAACATTGTAATTCAAACAGTCAGGGAAATTTCTACGAAAAAATACAAGTTTGCAATTTTAATAAGTTGTGTTATTTGAGCTTTTCTCGAGCATTTTAAAGTCACCTTAGGGTGTTCAGTAGTTCAGCAAAACTCATTACAAAATCTGTTATCAAGAGAGGTATCTGCAACTTAACGTTGCTGGTTTTTTCATTGTGATTAACCCTTGTCTCTTGGTACAGTTATAGTAAACAATGTTCAAAGTAAATGAAGGATGATAGATTAGTGTGCCTACCTGTGAATTAATTTTCCTATAGGTTGAAATATCTAATAATTTCTTTACAGTATTTCAAAAGTGTTCTCTAAAACTAAATGGTGTTTATAGAACAGTTTTTATTAGTTGTTCACATATCATTTGGAAAAATTTCTGCAGAAATACTCCCAAGTTTATGTGTGCAGATATGGGTTTGTGTATAAACAGGCAAGGAATCAATTAAAAGACTAGCATATTTAAGGTTCATTACAAGCATTGCTGGTTCAAAAGAGCTGCTAAAGATCTTAGTAATTGACTTACACCAGAGGTCCCCAACCTTTTGGACATCGGGGACCGGTGCCATGAGAAAGATTTTTCCATGGACGAGAGGGGTATGTGGTTTTGAATACTGCCTGCATCCCGAGGATAGAGCTTTGCTTGTTTGTGCGGCCCATTTGCTGGCATGCTGCGGACCGGTGCCGGTCCATGGACTGGAGGTTGGGGACCCCTGGCTTACACTATCTTGTTGAATAATGGACCTCAATATTTTGAACCTCCCTGCTGTTTTGGATACATGTTATCATGTCAGGTGCATTGTGCCCTGTGACTTGTGGAATTCATTTTATGTCTTTTGAAACCTAGCTTGAATTAAGTCATACTGAAACAGGTTAAACCCACTTTTTGGTACCTATTTTGAAATGGCACTTTTACTTAATTTTTAAAACTTTTAATGTATGAGAAATTAAAAAGTGAAATAATTGAAATTATTCTTTTTTGCACTCCTCAGAGATACAAAATCAAAGCTGAAGAAATTTAAGAACAAAATAATTGTTTTGTGATTATTGTTCTTTTATCAGTATTGTAGTTACTTTATCTGTACATGTGCAAAGTTTTTGCTAAAAGTGAATGCTGAGTCTTTTGAAATTTGGTGGTCTAAGTATTTGGTTTTTCAGCACAAATCCTTCAACATTAGAGACAAATGATCTACTTGAAAATGGAATGTTTTTATTGAACTATAATCACAACATTATTTCCAAAGATGAGCAGGTAAATGTAATTTCCGTAGATCAGCACTAAGGAGCAAATGAGCTGTCACATCAGAAATTTGTGATAGGATTTTGCAATATAATTTTATTTTAGATTTTTATGGATATTGCATGTGATAATTTGGAGTCTGTTGCAATGATGTGATGGGTCAGCGTGGGCAGTATAAACCTCTTTTCTTTTCCAGAGTTGTTGTGAAATGTAGCAACAACAACATTCAGTTATAATTTGGATGTCTGTTCTGGGCTACTTAGCTCAAAACAGCTCTGAGGGAAGAAGTAATTTGGATGAGGGGGAAGATTAGCAGTTCTTCAACATGATGCGACCTCCATCAAGTAGCCCTGAAAAAAAAATTATACAGAGAAATAATTGCAATTTTCTCTGCTTTGTAGTTTCCAGTGTTGGGTCTGTAACTCGCAGAATTGGGAATACTAGTTTCAGCCTATCTGAAGAGTGTTATTTTGGGGGAACATTGTTCTAGTGTGTGTAAACTCTGTAGAGTTTTGGTGGATCTAATCACTCCAAATTTTGTACTGGATAATAAACATTTTGTAGCAAAAATAAATCTATCGAAAGGAAAATGCTGCATTGGGATCATGGCAGGCATGAATGAAAAGACACACATGCTTCAAAAGTATAATAAAATGGATATCCAATAATACGTGGTCTGATGAACTATGCTTTCTTTCAGCCCTGCAAACTGTCAAACTGTTTTCATAGCTTGCATATGAATTTGAAATATTTGGATTCTAATTTCCAAAAACATTTATTGTTAACATTGTTGTAATTATTCAAGAGAGGGGAATAGTAGTGAAGTATTTTACTTTTCAACTCAATTGGACTTTTATATTGAGGCCTTTCCGATACTGTTTATTTTCTAATTTGCATGCCGTGTACAATTTAGCATTTCATTTGGATTACAAATCATGTTGCTCTTTTCTGTCGCCATGTAAAGATATGAACATTGACAGTTGTATATATGTCACTGCCTGAAGCATAGAGTTCCTTCCTAATTGATATATTTGATTGACATTAAATTATACAGGAATGATAAGAGGCCATGAACTCATATTTATGTGCATGCATTACCCACAACCTGCATGCATAGAACACAATGTTAAATATGTCAGGCATTACTCGGTAACAAATTTCATAGGGGCTTATCACTACTCTTCTCTACTCAGTGTGGATTGCCAGGAAAGCTCATATCCATAGCCATCAAGTTTTTTAGGTTAACAGGGAGTACTGTATTCATCAGCTTGGTCATTCAACATTTAAGGAGAGTAGTACTAAAAACAGTAGCAGCACAGTAATCAAACCCAAAATTACAGATATCAAGACCAAGAACAATATACGCCAAATAAAAACTACAGTCTTGAGCATATGTTGGGGTGTGTGTAAGAGAGAGACAGAGACAGAGAGATCGTTTCTTGTGCACAATCCTCCTGCAGATATTTAATATCCTTCAATACTAAAGAAAATGAGGCAGTCTTTGCTCCTAGAGGACTTTATGTATTCATTGAAGCTGGCGGTATGAAAATTGGGTGCTATGGGATGTGTTGGTTATATTTCAGCATCTGCTCAAATTATGTCTCCACAAATGTACGTTGTGTGTATGGCCATTTAAAAAAAAACATTTGCAGATATTAAATTAATTAATCTTAAATGATACATGATCAAGACAATTGAGGAGGTAGGAACTAAATTGAATGAATTGCACAAAAAAGAGCATTCAGTTTCATTAGCGAAAAGCATTTATGGGCTGTTTACACGCCTAATATAATTCTTAAAAATAAAGACATTTCTTTTTTTCATCAAAGAAAGCATATTAATTTTTTTTTAAACCAACCTGATATTAGATTGATATTCATATTGTATAAAACTATCTATTGTGGGTTAACATCATCAGTACCTCCCAAAGATAATGGTTCTTGATATATACAAATTTGAATTAATTCAACTTTCTTGATGATTGCATATAATGCAATACCATATAAAATAGGGTTGTACAAATACTTTGAAAGGATCTTCACAGCGGGCTAGAGAGTAAACAGGATAGCTTT